TACTTCAAACATGTCAACCCTACATTTTAATTTAATAATTTAACTTGGGTGGACAAATGTGGGGAGGTAGAGGACCCTTAGAGAGTTCTAGAGTCCAAAAAATCAGACCTGGGACTGTGTAGAGCCCACAGACCCTACTTTGCTCACGTCTGCTTTACCTAATGATTTTTTTTCATGTCAGGAGCGACTTGAGAAACTGCAAGTCACTTCTGGTGTGAGAGAATTGGCTGTCTGCAAGGACACTGCCCAGTGGATGCCCTGATTTTTTGGATCCTTGTGGGAGACTTCTCTCATGTCCCCACATGGGGAGCTGGAACTGACAGAGGGAGCTCATCTGCGCTTTCCCCGGATTCGAACCTCCAAACTGTCAGTCTTTGGTCCTGTTGACACAAGGGTTTATCCCATTGCACCACCGGGGGCTCCAAATTATGCAGTACCATTATGATGCTAACCTAACAAGGAATGTTTGTATTTAGTGCTTTACTTTTGACAAATAGTATTTCAATGTATAAATGAAAAATAATTCCAGAGTCAAGCTCCAGGAGTTAATATCTTATTGAATGCTGGCAGGATTGGGATTTTCTGTCTCCTGTTGCAACCTTACATTGCACCAAAACTTTGTTCCATAAAGTTTCCTTTCCCAGCATTCTGGAACAGTTTTTCTAAGAATGCATAAGTATGGGCCTGGGGAGAAATCCATTAAACTTGTGGCACAGTGTGATTTTTAAGAAATTACTCATTTTTCCTAATATTAAACAAATACTATCCTATCCTACAAATACTATAAAATTGACTCTTCCTCGATAATTTAAGGCAATAACTCTGCCTATATATCCCCATAATCTACTCTTGAAGTTATGATTTTCTTCTGTCTTCTTTATTTAGCATTTTTCTTCCAACATACTGAACAAATTCAAGTGACAAAGTTCTAACATTACTTAACACTTAGTATACTCCTTCTACCCCTATGACATAGAGAGTGTAACTTCTAATAGCAGGTATTTGCAGTCAAATGCATATGTGTGTGTTGCAGTTACCAGTTTCCCAAAAGGAAAGATTCAGTTTTTTGTGGTCTCTTGACCTCACAGAAGTTTTCATGCTTGTGGAATGCATTGGGATGTTGTAGAGTTAAATTCCCACTCTGGCAAATTACACAACAAGTCACCAATCCCATCTCTTCCAGGAAGGAGCCATAATTCATTTTCCAGGCTCCTTTGATATGATTTACAGTTCAAAGGATCCTTGGTAATGGAGTTAAGTAACTATTCTTCCTGAGATCTTGGGGACTGAGATTATACCTGTGTACAGAACTCTGTACACAGTGTCCCACCGTCCCACCACGTGACAGTTGTCCTACCTGCAAGGAGCACCACCTTCTGTCAGTTACAAGTAGGGGAGGGATGGAGAAGGCAACTCAGATCATAGAAAAGCCGCTACTCTCAGCTTGGTTGTGATATGAGGAGAGATATTAAACTACACTGACATTTTCTTCCCCCCAGAGGCTCAGAGTTGCTGGATTTTCATAGTCTTAAATGTTTCTTTCCTCTGTTAAGAATGAGCAGCAGCAGTACCCTTCTCAGGACTGGATAGGCACTAATCGTGGAAAATGTTTTGCCAGAACTCAAGAACAAATCTCTGTGCTTCTCCCAGAAAGGGACTTACGCTTGCATATAAGAAGATGCCAGTCTATATGGCATAATCCAGGTTTGTCTTGCCACCAGACCTTTTATTCTCAGAGTTCATTCCATGTGCAAAGGAGAGTTGCTCTCATAAATAATATTTATGGAGGAAAGGCCCTAGAAATTTTAGTTCTATCATATACCAGTATTTATATTGTGCTATATTTCACAGAGCTCCCAGAACAATTTTCATTTTACCTGTTGTTACTTTAATGATGCTTCAGCTATTATGGTCGTATCAGTCCCAGGGTTAAAAAAAGAAGAAGTATTTTTTTCTCCTTGGTTCATAATACTAACAACTTACACAGTGAAAGCAGAGCTTCAAAAACTTCATTTTTGTTACTTAAAGTAAAGGTAAAGGTTTCCCCTGGCATTAAGTCTAGTTGTGTCAGACTCTGGGAGGTGGCGCTCATCTCAATTTCTTAGCCGAAGAGGCGGCATTGGCCGTAGACACCTCCAAGGTCATGTGGCCAGCATGACTGCATGGAATGCCATTACTTTTCCAAGAAGCGATAGCTATTGATCTCACATTTGCATGTTTTCGAACTGCTAGGTTGGTAGAAGCTGGGCCTAACATTGGGAACTCTCCCTGCTCCCCAGATTCGAACAGCCAACATTTTGGATAGCAAGTTCAGCAGCTCAGTGGTTTAACCCGATGCACCATCATTTCCCAAGCAGCGGGGCCATGATGATTGGAAGATATTGTAACCTATAGTCCAAAAGAATAATATTTCCACACTCCTAGATATAACAACATGCAGTCACCAGGTAGACCATGATTTTAAAATGATATGCAATATGTATGATATCATATAAAATAATAAAAATACAATGCAACGGCAGTATACTGCAGCTAAATTGTATGTTCTTTGAAACACCACACACATATGTGCATTTTCAGCTGGTGCTTCCAATGATAACAGTGAGAAAAGCAACTGGACATTAGCTGGAAGGCAAGTCCAAAGCTAGGCTCCCATCACAATGAAGGCCTTACTATATCAGATTGCCTTACAGAGCACACTCATGTATTCCGGAAGAAACATGCTTTGGTCACACTTTTATAGGTCTTCTCCATGATGAGGTTATAGAATTCTGTTTTCCTTTCTCTTACCCATGGCACTTTAGTTTGTTTTGAGGCAGAAAATGCAACTTTGGTAGGGGCAAAGCAGAACAGTAACACGAACTCTATATGTGAATTTCCTTAGTGCCGCTCTTCTTTCTCCATTACTCTCAGGCATGTTCTTTTAAAAAAACAGAATCTGTAATAATCTATAATAATTTAATGGCAACCTTTTGCCATTAAATTATTTCAGCATGCCAGACCTATTGTTTCCCTGTTGGGGTTGTTTTTATCAACATAGTTTAATTTTTAATCAATCCTCTAATTGATACTAAAATGCCTTCTGCCTGTGCATTTTAAAATGGTTAAATTATTTGCGTGATAACTATTTTGAGCACAATTTTAATTCAGTGCCATGACACTTTTTAAAAGCAACTTTTAAAAAAGTTACTAACTCAGTGAAACAACCATATCTCAGTTAAAAAGAAAGCACTTGAGTGCAAATTAAATAACTAATTTTCACACCAGGGTTTAAATTTGCCACTTCCCTATTTACTTGGCAAAGTCATACTTATAATGCCAGATAAGTCAAGCAATGGTCTGACTAGGTTTCATAATATCTGGATAGCCTCATTCTTCATTTTCTTTGGAAAGCTTTCGTTTTAAGTCCTTCAGAAAATCATGAAAAAGATGTTTCCCATCTCTTCCATTTAAGGAAAAACAGATTACAAAAGGTTGGTTTTTTTTAAAAAAAACTGGATGTACATTTGATACAATAGCAAGGAATAGTAGAGCAGTACTATAACATGTGGAGGGATCTTCATATGGTAACACTTATTACTTCATTCACGTTAATAATAATAATAATAATAATAATAATAATAATAATAATAATTTTATTTATACCCCGCCACCTTCTCCCCAAGGGGACTCAGGGCGGCTTACATGAGGCCAAGCCCAACAACACATCAGTAAAAACAAAACAAAACAGCAAGTAAATAAAACAGTACAATTAATATTATTTACATATAAACAATAACACAGAGAATTTAAAAGATGTAATAATTTTTTAAAAATAAATACTGGGTGTGAACAGAGGTAGGATGTATCTAAGCAGGAGGGTTTTAAAAGATAATCTAGGGAGACCAACCCAATGGGTAGTAAAGTGCTTCTGAGGACAATTGCAGAGAATTAATCAGAGCAGAGCATTGTTTCCTTATTCAGGGAAGGCACACTGGAACAGCCACGTTTTCAGGCTCCTCCTAAAGACTGCCAATGTGGGGGCTTGTCTGATATCCTTGGGGAGTGAGTTCCAGAGTCAGGGGGCCACCACAGAGAAGGCCCTCTCCCTCATCCCCACCAATCGTGCCTGCAAAGGAGGCGGGAGCGAGAGCAGGGCCTCTCCAGATGATGGAAGAGATTGCGTGGGTTCGTACACAGAAATGCGGTCATGCAGGTAGGCGGGTCCCAAACCATTCAGGGCTTTGTAGGTAAGAACCTGCACCTTGAATTGGGACCGGAAAATGAACGCTAGCCAGGGGGGTTGACCGCTCCCTGCAGAAAGTTAGTTCTGTTCTATTTGGAGCAGGGGCAGCTCATCTTTCTGAATAGACCCCTGGGCCTCTTCCTCAAATTCCAGCTGTAGTAACACCACTGATAAGGAGTAGGATTTTTGAAAGCCTACTTTCAACAACATCCAAAGGACACAACCTCAGTTGTGATTGAGTAGACTCTGCACCCACTTCATTGGTTGTTTCAATATTTATTATTTATTTATTTATTTAAAATGTTTATATCCCGATCTTCTCACCTCCGTAGAGGGACTCAGACCGGCAATACTCTCCCTTGCTATTGCAGAATAATTCCCAGATACAGTTTTCTATTGAAAATTGGAGGTGGTGCTTACTCAGATGAGCTATAACTAATCATCTAAAAATACCAATTTTAGTACAATTTAAACACCATGATTCTTTTTAATAGCTTGTCAAGACCATTGTCATTTGTTCTTTCTTTTTGATTGATCCCAAACATCTACAAGTTACTTCAGTCCCGTCCCCCCCATTTTCATCTTGCGATCCAAGTTGTGCTTTCATGTGAATGATGCCTGCAGTAGTTGTTTGATTTCAGTTTTGTGTAGCTGTTTGGAATGTACCTGACATCTTAGTGAGTGCTTTCATCTGCACGCTGCTCCTTGGGAAGACAACTGGCCTCCTGTGTGAATGAGTAAAAGGTTATTTAAAAATGCTCTATTTCGTTTACAGACAATGCTAATGAGGAAGAGTTGGAAAAGATCAAGTAAGGTAATTCTTAGCATGTGGTCTTGAGAAGAATTGTGATATTTTTGTAGATTGTCACTTGAACTGAAAGTTGTGACACATACTGTTCTCCTATGAACCTGTTTTATAATAACTTTGATAATGGAGCAGAACTTTACTAAGGAAACATCCTTTGTTATATACATTCTGGTCTTTTAAAATGATCTCCATTACAAATCACCTGTATATATCTGACTAGAAAGATAAATTCATATTAAAAGCTGTCTCATGCAATATGTATATTTTTCTTAGTGTTAGTACTTTTAGTATGACAGAGTGGAGTGGATACAAGTTAAAATGCTACCGTGAGGTTCAGTTCTAGCCTATTGTTATCTGCTTAGACTTCTTTTAATTGATCCATGGGTTATAAATTATTAAATAATAGGTATTGAATAACACAAATTTTGCTGGTGTGTAGAATATCTAGATAGGCCTTTTATCATGATATTCAGGATTTCAACTGAAATCTTTGATTTGCTCTCGACATACGCTAGCTTTACTTCATCTACTATTATGAAGCATAGAAATAAAGCCTAGGGATGGCTACAAGATTGCAAATCTAATTCCGCTTTGTTTAGATAACTTTTCCTTTGATATCTTTCTCTTTACATGAATAAAGAAAAGAATAAAATTATTGAAAAGACACATTTTTTCACACCCTGAGGGTATAGAAAAGGAGATTTTAAGTTGAAGAGTTCATTCAGGCTTCAAGAGGAAATTATTTATATGCATATTTTTATTATGTTCATTAGATTTATTTGAGAAAATAGATAAAGATTGGCATAGCACTTTATTAGCATACAGCTTTGTTCTTAGTGTTCGTTATTGGCTTTAAGGTGCTTGGTTTGCTAGTCTCTGTAGAACCCACCTCTTTAGTTGCTTCACTCTGTAGTTACATTAGCATTTATAGTAGTGGTTCCCAACCTTTTTTTGACCAGGGACCATTTTGACCAAAGATCGCTTGATCAGGGACCACTTTGATCAGGGACCACTCTCCAACATTAGTGCCAAAAGGGTTATGAATTAGTTTTTGGTCAACTTTAGATTCGGTTTGGTTATTTGGGGTGCTGATTCAGAAAATTGGATAGACCACATCAGCTCTAGTTTCTGATACAAAAGAACTTAGACCATCCAGTAGTCACCATCTGCCCGCCCACAGAAAACCATATTTAATAAGCCTCGGTGCTATAAGAGGGTTTAGTGAGATCAGTTGCTCTCGTTGCAACAATGCAGTAATGGTGAGGCCGTGGACCATATTTTAGTTCTTGCAGACAGGTTGGGAACCACTGATTTATAGTCTAGGCTTTAAGAGAAGTTGAGCAGCTGTCCTTATTATTTAACTAAAATAACAAATCCCTGATGGAGTTTTCAGAAGTGCTAAGGGCTGGTGTGTAGCCATAGGGCAGTTGTTTTTCTTGTTCACTTGCATCCTCTTGATTACTACAATGTATTGATTGAGTACGAAAGCATCAGGCTGTGGCTTGTAGCTGTTCTCATGACTGTAATAGCAAATTTATCACTCACTATTTATGTATGAATCTATCCTACATATATAGGTTTGTTGTTGGCCATGTCTGTACAGTAAGGGTGGGAATCTCCATATATTGGTAATCCCAGTTGCTCTAGCCATCTTGGCTAATGGCAAAGAATACTGCATGTTGCAATTCAGCTACTTTTAAAGTATGACACACATCCCAACCAGATTGTATAACCTGATTTAAATAGACACCTCTTTACATTTCAATATTTTTGGACCGTTCAAAGGGAATAACCAGAGAGCAAAGCCAAATGATTTACATGCATGAACTAGACCTTGGAATAATACAAGCTATGTATTATTTGTGGGAAAAACATTTAAAATACAAAATAATATCCTCAATATTTTCAAAAACAATGTCCCTTGCAGGCAAAATGTATTTGATGTACCCATGTATAAGTCTAGAAGTTTTAGCACAGAAATCAACATCAAAAACCTGGTTTGACGTATCCATGGGTCGATCTAAGTACTGAACTCTTATAAAAAAAGAACCATTCTATTCTCTGTGCAGAATGGCAAAAAGTCAAGAGCTTAGGCCACCATAGTCCACAGGTGATATAAAAATCTATGATGTTGGTTCCAAAACCTACCCTTGACTTATACATGAGATCTACTTATACATGAGTATATATTATGGTATGTGAGTTGACTCCATCATGAGCCCTCAGTACTTTGTATGGATGGCAAAATAATGGAGGTAGTGGCAAAATATGACTCCAAAAGAAAATGAAAATAGTTAATGTTGTATCTAGTTTGTTTGGAAATCCCAAATAAAAATAATTGCAACTGGAATTGAAATTTTATTAATGCAAGATGTGTGTATTTAAAAAAAACAGCATTACTTAGAAAGGGAGAAAAACATAGATCTCAAGAGTTCTTAATACTGATGAACAGATTTTATCAATAGTATTTTGCCACTTTCTTATGCTAGTTGTCCATGTGATTAGATTGTTTCTGCATTCCTTAGGTAATTAGTGATACGGGCTTCGGACTTGGAACCTGATTTTATTTGGGTTAATGGAGCTGATCTTAATTTTTTGCTTCTGGGCAGCTTTGTTAACACTGATTTTTTTTCTTGAAATGTGATAATTTCTGTTTTCTTTAGGAGTTTTTCAGTATCTGTGGTGGTATAGTCTAGTCAGGATTCCCACAATTAAAATTAAATATCAGCGTGTACTACATAGCATCACATATAGTTTAAAAATTCATCACCTTCACTATTAATTTCTCATTGTAAGGTGTGTAGTACTCAACTATATCACTACAATAATACTTTAACAGCTATAGATGTAAATTGGTTACATTGAAGTTGTGAAGGCATCTGTACAAACTCTCAATCTTAAACAGAGAATCCACAGCTCTGTGTGTTAAAGGGTTGCATGCCTTACAATGAGAAATTAATAGTGAGGGTGATGAATTTCTAAACTATATGTGATGCTACATAGTTTCTAGTACTTAAAAACAAGATAATTCTAACAACACAATGTTGTATAATGAAACTATTACAATACATTTGTGTGTCGGATGTACATATATGATTTGAGTATATAACTGGAAATATTTGAAGATACTATCAGGTTGGTAACACGATTACACAAAGTGCATGGAATAATTACAATAAATGTAATATTGCAAGTTTTTACAAGACAATATGTACAAATTACCATTGATATAGTTATGTATAACTGCATAGATAGGGAACATCCTGATGAAGGTTAAGAGTACAGAAGTTACTTCATCATGACTATTAAACATGATGATATATTGGATAAGAGAACTGCTGACTCTTTCTGCCATTGTACTACTTTGGCTGAGTATTCCAGGTGAAGAAGCTTTCATTAGTTATTTGTTACCTTTGTCTATTCACCCGTGCACCTTGTTTAAAGAATCATTTTAGCCTGGAAGTAAATTTGTAAGATACTATGTGCTTGTGATTTAGCTAAATGAAGGTTTTCTCTGCACCTGAAGTTTCAGACTCAGAGTATACGCCTGTCGGACCTGCACAGAAAAGCTCAGCTATGGAGAGGAATTGTCAGTGTCACTTTGATTGAAGGCCGTGAACTCAAGGCCATGGATCCAAATGGGCTTAGTGATCCTTATGTGAAATTCCGGCTAGGACAACAGAAGTACAAGAGTAAGGTAACTTCTTACAAATATTTTCCCAAGTGGTGGTGGCTTTTAATGTATTGCTGTTTTTGTGTTCTTCTCAGCTATTTTTTTAAATGTAGTACGACCCCCATATTCCACTTACTGAAACAGGAGATTATGGAGAATAGTGAACTCTATTGAAGTTAATTGCTTCTGCCAGCCGTTACCATACCTCTCTAGGAATTTTCTGTGTTCTCCAGGATGATATTATGGTATTGTCTGGCAGAAGTTGTTCAGTTCAGTAGGGTTCACTATTATCCATCGCTTCCTTCTGGCAGCATATCATAGAATCACTTGGAAAACCTAGAAAATTCCTAAAGAGGACATTTTTTGTTGGATGTGAGTAGGTAAAACCTGTGAGTGTGGATGTCATATGGTACAGCTGGCCCTCCAAATGATCAGCCACACATCCAGCCAATCATGATTGCATGCTGAACACTCAATTTGTATGCTTATCCTGCTATAGTCTCTTGCTTGGGCTCTCTCTGCCACTCATTTCAATGGTTGACCATTTTATATGAGGAGCACCATTTTAAGGTAAAGGTAAAGGTAGTCCCCTGACATTAAGTCCAGTCATGTCTGACTCTGACACCATTTTAGTATATGATAATATATAATGGGACTTGAGCATACATAGATTTTTCTATCCATGGAAGGTCCTGGAACCAAACCTCCAGCAGAATGTTTTGTTTTGGGTCTTAAATTCTTCAATCCAGTTCAAATGGGAAAATAAAAAAAATATATACTATTCATCAAATAATTAAGAAAAAAAACACAACAGTTGCTGGAAGCAATTACAAACATTACCACCTTGCAGCATCTGGGAGTCCTCCAGCTCATTCTGCTCAGCAGGACTGAGTGATTATGTATCATAAATTGTGCAACAGCTGACATTTCAGGGTTTTGTATTTCTAATTAGTTTTGATTTTTGTTTTCATTTGAACAGCTAACACTCTCCCTTGTACAGCACTGCATACCCTACTGAAACTTCTCTAAGTGTCAATAATGTTTTCCCAAAGGAAGGACGTTGCAATTTGAGAATTTTATCCCAAAGTCCTGCTGGGCTCGTTGTGCGAGTTGAGAAGGGTTTTCTAATGTAGCACAGGGTGTTTGGTTTTGGAAACTCCAGTTTGAAATCCCCAACCATTTGGAAATGGAGATGTACTTCTTTGGACCCTGGCTAGTACTGAACTTCCAGATTGAAATGATTTAGTTAGCAATGTGTGTTGCTACATATTTTTTTTTCTTATATAAGTTTCTGTTTGAGGCAGATTCTTGTCTGTCCTACAAAAATGTGTGTTGTATTTTGCAAAAATGTGCTGCTTTCCTCACCCCACCCCCTGTGCTAGCTGTCATAATGGATCTTAAAGCAAGAAAACCTGTAGAAGCAATTCCATATAAATATACTTCAAACCTTGTTTTTTAAAATGACAATCTGACTGTAGGGATTAAATCTGGAATGTCTGATGGAAATCTGGTACGGTTTATAACAGGATAGAGAAGAAGAATTAGTCCAGCTTATTTCTATCTGGCCCTCTTCAGGTCTTTAGTAATGTTGGCTGGGGATAGGAGGGGTTATACTTATGTATCATAAATTGAATTTATTTGACAAAAAATGTCCCCAAAACATGCGACCCACTTATACACGAGTAAATGGTGGAATAGCCACCCAGCATGAAGATGGTTGTAAGAGACAGGGTCGAGAAGCACTCTCACCATATTACCCTTTCCTTACTTAAATAGAAGAAAGAAAGACAGTCCTCCATCCTTATTTTCTTTTTCATTCTAAATGGAGTTCATTATCTATGTGGGGGGAAGCCATTTTGGGAGCTTAAGAAAGAGCAGAGTAGGTTTTTTTTAATGTCAGGAGCAAACTTGAGAAACTGCAAGTCACTTCTGGTGTGAAAGAATTGGCTGTCTGCAAGGGCATTGCCCAGGAGACACCCAGATGTTTGATGAGAAGCTAGAGATGAGGTGGGGGCTCACCCCGCTTCCCAGATTCGAACTGCCAAACTGTCAGTCAGTAGTCCTGCTGGCGCAAGGGTTTAACCCATTGCGCTATTGGGGGCTCCTAAGGGTTCTAACCCCCCCCCCTGCCCCCCAAAAAAACCTGATTTACTTATGAATTTTAACTGGTTAGCAATTTATGAGTAAACCAAGTTTCTTTTTTAACCTGACAAATTTGAGGGTAAGATTTAACTTTTAACACCCCCCCCCCCCCCCCCCCCCCGCTACGGCCCTGGCAAGATCCTTCTCAATTATGGAAGTCCCTTCTCAGCCATGGAAACCTACTGCATGGCCTTGAGCAAGCCATACTCTCTTCAGAAAAAGGCAACGGCAAACTTCCTCTGAACTTATCATGCCAAGAAGACCCTGTGATAGAGTCATCTTAATCACTATAAGTTAACGGTTTAAAGACAAACAATAATAAAAACTAAGAGACCTCACTATGAGATGTAATTGTATCACTTTAACTATGTCTCCTAATACAGGATCTTGACCATCATGTTTGATCTTTTTTGCATCTTATTTCCTAAGCAAATCCAAATGACATAATGAAGTAATTCCATGTTTTCAGACCACTCACTTCACTGCAGCTAAATTCCATTCAACGACTCTAGAATGTATCAGGCTACACAATACAATTATGTCTTTACTTTTTCAGATTATGCCAAAAACTTTGAATCCTCAGTGGAGGGAACAATTTGATTTTCATCTCTACGACGAAAGAGGTGGAATTATTGATATCACAGTCTGGGACAAAGATGCTGGGAAAAAAGATGATTTTATTGGCAGGTTTGTCTAATTATGACATTTGTATTCTGAGAATGAGAGCTGAACTAAAGAGGATGCTATATCTCTGTTAAATAAACTACTTCTGTTTAAGGAATATTAATTTAGAAGTGATCTCTTGACTCCCTTTACTTCTATTTACACTTAAAATCATTTACCTTGATCAGTAGGTGGCATATGATACCAATATTGTAAAGGCATCTTTTTTTCAAAATTTAAGTGCGGAATCAAGGTACGAAAAGTTCCATTGGCAAAAATTTAAGAGGCAGTTATTAACCATTCCTTGAAATATAAAATTGCTGTGGTAGTGATGAAGATATGTATGATTGAGATGATGATGCTGTTCAGTGAAAATTGGCTACTCTATAGTATAAAGTGTATGATTGACTGCATTTTATGTGATTGATATATATCTGTCATTTTTCTCAGCAGTGCCAATTATGCTAAATATTTCCTGTTTGAAAAATTTAACTTCCAAGGATCTTTAGAAACATGAGTTTTATTACTATATTTATTTAACATGTTCGGTTTCAAATATACCATCGATGATCCTTTAAAAATGGGTTAAACGCACATTTTGAGTGGTTGAGTGCATTCTGAAGTAATGCTAAGGTACAGTTTGTGTTGAAGAAGGTCAGATCTTTCTGTAGGCTCCTAAGAGCTTCAGAGAAAAATCTCTGTCCCTGTGTAAACAAGGTATTGACCAAGGCAACAATCTCACCCCAACAGGTCCTCATCACTCAGCCTCTTTCACAAGTTTGTTCAGTTAACCATGGTTATCGCTTAGTAAGTAAAGTTTATTGATTAGTCCACTGACCATATCAAAATAAAATACAAAAAACCCCACCAAATAGATCCTAATCACTGCCCTAAAACTCCTGTAATAGTGAACTGCATTAAAACACAATTAAAACTTGATAAAGTTAAAAGTTAAAGATAATTAAAAAATATCATCATTAAAGTGCCAAGGTAAAACTTCATACCACAGAAGTTAAGGACGAAGGTTAAAACAAAGGTTAAAATAGACCAGCTATTAGACCAGATATAGCTTAGTGTTACCCGTGATTTATTGAACACAGCAACCATTTAATTTATTTTAAGCAAAAACTAAAGCATCAATAGTAACATAAGACATATTTCCATATAAAGGTAATATGAGTGCTCATTTTTAAAGCTAACCATTTAAAATCCATCTTTCAAAATCTGTAGGATTTATCTACATGTAGTTAATGCTCTGAAACAATCTTCTAGTTGTTTGCTCTGAACTTAATTTTCATGCAGTACATAAGGTCAGTCTTGGCTGCTCATTATGCATTGGGGAACAGCTTTTTCCTTTCCCTCTAATTGTGTTTTTTCCTTGGGTATGATGAATTCTCAGGTGTTTTGCAGACTCCTTGTCTATCCAGTACCTCATGCAATTCATTGTTAGTATTCCTATAGGCACTTAAGAGAGTATCTCCATCCCCATGCAACCACAGTATTTAGAGAAGCAGCTCCCCCACTGAGGCATCTCTGCACCATTTACCCTCTTATAGCTCCATTGTTGTAATACTTAGAGAGACCCTTATCTTTATTAGACCCAATGCCCTCACATGGCATTTGTACAGGATTGCAATGCATGAAGGAAACATTGCTGGTTGCAGAAAAGCAAACAGTCTTAGTTCTAACTCAAGCCCAAGGAAATTTATTTTTCCTAAATTAAGCCAATATCCTTTGTCTTCATTCCAAAGCAGAGTCCCACAGGTCACAGAAAGGGGTTGTTAAATATATTCTACTGTTTATGGTACAAGAGAGGAGAGGACGCTAACTAGTTTATATATTCCATAAAGTCAAGTAGTCTTTGTTCGCCTGGAGTGTGGCATGTTGGGAGTCAAGTAAAGGCTGCATATTTGAAAGATCCATAATGGATGAAATCCTCCCTTTGGCGTTTTTAAACATGTCAGAAAGGTGATACACAGAACTTTTTCCACTTGACTTGGTGCTTTTATGAATTTAAGACAGTAGCCATTTCCCCAGGTCCATCTTGGGGTCATTCTGATGTTCAAATATTGCTTATGGTCATGCCATTCAGTAGAAGCTTTACCAGCTGATTCTAGTTAAGCAGGTTAAGATTCACCAGGAACTTGCATATTTGCCAGAATACATTGGAGACCTTCTGGATTGGACCAAAAGGTTTCACAAAGTGGCCAATATGTTTCCTATGGCAGCCAGCAAGAACAATACCCAATACTCTCTCGCTTGTGTTTTGCAGCAATTTATATAGATGGGCATATACTGCCTCATGTACTAGAGGTGATATATAGTCATCCTATTAGCCATGTCAATTTCTAAATTCCATTAATGTGCCAGTTTTAAAAATGACCAAGTTTGCAGCCATCACTGGCTCTTGCAGCAATGAATTCTACTGATTAACTATGTCTCAAAAAGTATTTCCCTTATCTTAGCTTCAGTAGATTATGATGGGGAGAGAGAGAAGCTGTTGTAGGTCAGACTGTGTTTCTTCCATTGCCTGAGATTCAGAGAATGGTGGCCAAGCTTCTGCAGACCCACAGGGGTCTGGAAATGGGGATTTTGGGCAGGAGAGTGCTGTTAGTCATGATGAAGCTGAGGATTGTGGGATGGTCAAGCCTGCATTAGATGTTCCAGAATGTGAAAATAATGTGTTAATTGGGGATCCAGAAAAGGATGCCTCCCTCGATAGAAGGGGTCAGATCTGTCAACAGAGACATCTGGCCAAGGGGAGCTCCCAAAGATTAATACACAAGAAGAATCCTCCTGAATCTTCCCAAGGGAAAAGGCATGGTTTTTTGAGTATATATGAGAGTAACTGAGGCAGATTCCTCAGAGGAATCAATGTTTGGTTTAAGACAGCAATTCCTTTCTCATGTTCCAGTTTCATGTGCCTTGGATTACATGTTTCAAGTTTTTGTTCCTGTAACTTTATGTGTCTTGGTTTGCTGTTCCTGGATTATATTGGAATCACAGACTCTTGTAACTTCTGGATCTTTATCATGGTTTTGTGCATTTCTGTTTCCCTGGATGAGCTTTGTATGCCAAGTCTTTAGTTATCGTTTGCCTGAGCTTGGTGTTTGGATTCCTGTTTTCCAAGTTTAAGTTACTCTTACGATGGACAATTTCCTATACTACTTTTGATCATTTTTTATCCTTTTGCTGAAGCTACTTTTATTGTTCAATAAACTGCTTTGCTATACTGAACTCTGGAGTGTGAGATTGGTTCAGAGGTGCCTTCCCAGCCCTGGTGTATCACAGAAGCTCCCTATGAACTTTCTCCACACCATGCATAATTTTGTACACTTACGCATGCCTACCCATCCTTGCCTGGTTTTTTAAAACTCAACAGACCCAAATGGTGTAAAAGAAGGAAGGAAGCTGTTCCACTCCACTGATTATTATCATTGCCCCTATCCCAGCTATACAGCATCATTTTTCATATGCAGTGACCAGGACTATGCACAGTATTTAGTATGTGGTTATGGAGCCCCCGGTGGCGCAGTGGGTTAAACCCCTGTGTCGGCAGGACTGAAGACCGACAGGTTGCAGGTTCAAATCCGTGGAGAGGCAGATGAGCTCCCTCTATCAGCTCCAACTCCTCATGCAGGGACATGAGAGAAACCTCCCACAAGGATGATAAAACATCAAATCATCCGGGCGCCTCCTGGGCAACGTCCTTGCAGACGGCCAATTCTCTCACACCAGAAGCGACTTGCAATTTCTCAAGTCGCTCCTGACACAACAAAAAGAAAAGTATGTGGTTGTACCATACTAAAGGCCATTCTATTTCAATAATTTTTCTAATTACGGTATACCCATTGTGGAATTTGCCTTTTTCTTCACACCAAGTTTCTGCCTGGTAGATTCTGCAAAAACCTCAAAGCCCTTTTTGGTCAGTTGCTCCAGCTCAGATTCCATTATGATATATGAAGTTGGGCTCTCTTTTCCTCATTATATGTCACTGTGTGCTTCCTTACATTGAATTTTATATGAAGTTTTGAGTGCCACCCCTCCCAGTTCAGAGCGAACATTATTGAGTTCTTCACAATCTAATTTTATTCTTTCCACTCTGAATAATTTTGTATCATCTGCAACTGGGCCACCTTGCAGAAGATGCTTGACTTTCAGTGAGTATTCTTGCAGTAATTTTAAGAAGCTAATTTTAATCTGCTAATACTAAAGTAAAATTTTTGAATGATGGTGACATTATCTTAATCACCATGAAATTATTTACCTTCTTATCACCTACAATTTTGAGAGCACTCCTGACTTTGCCACATTAACAATAATCGGCTAATAAATCCCCATGGTTGTTACACTGTTAACACCTAAGAGTAATCTGGCCAAATTGGTTGCTGACAGCTGCAATATATTTCTAAGAGAGAGTGCTGTCAGTGAACAAGTTGTTTCTCTGAACGTACACAGGATAAGTAAATCCCATGTTGTACAATTTTATTCAGCCGGACCTATTTGCAATCCAATATAGAGGATTTATAGTGTTATTTATTAGTATGAAGCCATGCATGTTTATCTTCAAAATGGCATTGATTTTTGCTCATATTTTTATGCCAAGGGATTACTGCTGACTGATTTATTTTCACCTCTGTGAGTCAGCATTCCCCCTTTCAATTGATGGAAAGTCTGCGCAAAAAAGAAACTGGCATTTTGGCCAAATGACACATTTATCTGGGGGAAAATAGTCCCAGGTCACCTCAAGTCAACGGGTAAACAAGTCTGTATCTGTGCTGATGGCTCATTGCATCATCTTTGCCCAATTTAACCTACCATAAAGAGCACCAAAACTTATGCTATGATTCATTTCCCCTTCTTTTCCACCTTCACGGTGTTCATGGTTTTACTATGCAATCGTTTTCACATTATCTGAGTTTATTTGATGTTTTCTTTAGCAAATACATCAGCCCAATAAGGAACAAGCTGAATTTTACCTAAATTATCTCATGATCGTTATAGGAGGTCTTTAAAAGACTCTTGAGTGTTCCTACACCATTGTTCTTTCACAACACTCATTGATGAACAAAATATTCCAGGGTAGAGTAATTGAATTACTTTGAAAATAATTTTTATAGACAGTGGTGTATATGTGCATGAAGAACCTCTTTAAGTATCATCTCTGTATAGCTCACTAGACTATAGAATGATACACTGCAACTCTTGTAAACAGGCACTAGAGTGAATAGGTTCAACACTTTTGCCATTATAGCAATGACACATAGCTTTCAGGCCCCTAAGCAGAAAGCTAGAGCAAATTCATAAAGTAGAGGAGTGATATGCACACACATCCTTCTATAGAAAATGTAGTGTCAAATGGAGATTATGTGCACACATGCGTGTATTCAAATATGGGAGAACAGTGTCTATCCCGTGGACCTTATCCAGCCTGTCAAGGTTCAAAATTTGGTTCGCTAGAGCAGAGATCAGAAAATGTAGTTCTCCAGATGTGGTTGAATTGTAGATTCCAGGAATTGCTAACTAGCATAGACAATAACAAGGGATGCTGTGAGTTGCAATCCAACAATATCTGGGTGACCACATAATTGCCACTTCTGTGCTAGAAGTCCCCCTTCTTCTTTCCATTTCCATTTCCCTTCCTCATCAATTGACAAGAACAATTCCTAATTTCTCTGATGAGAGATCAGAAGTAACAGGGATTCACCTGTGTTTGCAGAGGAATTCCCAGCACTATCTCAATATCCTGACTAAAAATACTGGGGGCTCCTTATGGACTCCCTTAAGCTCATAACGACAAGAGCTGGCTGATTCCTAACAAGGGATTCCTGTACATACTGCTTCCCATCATTTCACAGATCCTCAGGCTGTTTCTGGCATTTGAATTGCCCATGAATTTTATATAAGGGACTCCATTATATTATTCCACTGTATATAATGAGACTTGGGCATATAGGAATTTTTGTATTCATGGGTGTCCTTTAAACAAACCTCAGTGGATGTGAAAAACCCACTATCCTGTATCTCTCCTGAAATATTCCAATAAAGGATGTTTCCTTTATTGAACAGATACTGCAAAGACAATGTGTCCGAATGGCAAAACTGCAGTCTTCACATCATGAATAGACAGTTGTGAGGGTTGGAGGATCTTGGAGGGCTATATACTTGCTGGTAGCTCCTAAGGGGGTGTAAGAAATAATTTCACCTCATCTACTCTCCTCTTTGCTTTAATAAAAAAGGAGACATTTGATAGAAAAAGAACTAAAATTAGAACGGAACCTTCTGGGATCCTAGGAGACATTTAGGGCATTTTTCCCCATCCCATTGGGGGAGGTGGCCTGTTTTCTGGGTTTCCGTGAGGGGCAACCGGAGGTCTTAAAGCAACCATAGAGGTGTATGTCATCCCTATAGGCTACACTTCAGTTCATGCTTTCCATAAGAAGAAAGCAGTATATTATCCCATAGGTCTAGATGAGTATTTTCTGCTGTCTCTTATGTTAATGTGATGTGCGTTGTCCTTGGCTTTTGTGTTGGTTTTTCACACTCACTCTCCTCCCCTCACCATTATTGCTTGATTTAAGGACATGAAGATCCTTGGCTGTTTTATCTTCTCTGTTTCTCTCACCCGCTTCTCCACAGTTACACTAAAGCACTCTAACTATACTGCAGCAGGTGTCCCAACGTGCCCTTGACCCTCCTCTGTCAGACAGCTAACATAATGATTAAACTATTGTTTGTGGCCTGGAGTCTTTGCTGAGTGACAGATAGATTACAGATAATTTAATGCTTATAGTTAAAAGAAGTAGTACTCTGATGGCCATGTTACACTAATTTTATTTTATGATTAATAAACATATCTGGATTTTAAAATAAAAAACAAAGATAATACTTGATATTAATGTTAATATTATTGTATTCCTGCATGTTTGAAGGCACAGTTCCTTCCTTTCCCCTCCTGACCCAGTTTCTCCCCAATACCTCATTTCATGCTGTGAGAAAGTTCCCACTTTTAAATGTTCCAGTGGGAACTTTTTAAAAATAATGGCAAGTGCTGCATGGAAGGGAGATTTAGGTTGGAATTGTGGCAACGATGTGAATGATTAAACTTCAGCTACCATACCAATGAGACCCCAATGAAAACCTGCCCCCAAATTAAACAGGGACAGGTTTTAATCACACAGTGGCTTACAATCTCGCTCATACAGCAGTGTGCATCTGATGATATTCAAGCTGACTTTCTCCCTTGTAATGGGAGTTTCTGTTCCTCTGCCGCTCCCTGCAAAACCCCAAATCTGTTCCAGGAATTCTTTTTAACCTGATTTGGTGGTGCACAGAGGAGCTGTAGGAGGGGTAGAATTTGATCGGCCAACAGAGCCTCTTTGCTGTTTGAAGAATATCATTTGATATGACTCAAGTAACATGTGTCTTGGCCCTTGGAAGAGATTTAAAGAAAGCTATAGGAAAATTCTCAAGCTGTTCTGTTGCAAGGGTACTGGCAACTATGAAATGATGGATTTTCCTTGGGTTGTTGTAGGTTTTTTGGGTTGTATGGTCATGTTCTAGAAGTAGTCTCTCCTGACGTTTCATCTGCATCTATGGAAGGCATCCTCAGAGGTTGTGAGGCCTGTTGGAAACTAGGAAGATTGGATTTATATACCTGTGGAAAGTCCAGGGTGGGAGAAAGAAATCTTGTCTGTTGGAGCTAGGTATGGATGTTTCAATTGGCCACCTTGATTAGCAATTGATGGCCTGACCATTTTTAGGTGTGGCTAAAAATGCCTGGGGGAATCCTTTGTTGAGAGGTGATTAGCTGTTCCCGATTGTTTCTTGTCTGGAGTCCCCCTGTGTTTGAGTTTTGTTCTTTATTTACTGTTATAATTTTAAAGTTTTTGTTCATTTTCATGGTTTCTTCCTTTCTGTTGAAATTGTCCATATGCTTGCGGATTTCAATGGCTTCTCTATGTAGCCTGACATGGTAGTTGTTAGAGTGGTCTAGCATTTCTGTGTCCTTAAATAATATGCTATGTCCAGGTTGATTCCTCAGGTGCTCTTCTATGGCTGACTTCTCTGGTTGAATTAGTCTGCCGTGACTTTAATATTTCTTGATTCGTCTTTAGACGCTGCGTTTGGTGGGCCCTATGTACACTTGTCCACAGCTGCATTGTATATGGTAGACTCCTGCAAAGGTGAGAGGATCCCTCTTGTCATTTGCTGAATGTAGCATTTGTTGGATTTTCTTAGTGGGTCTGTAGATAGTTTGTAGGTTGTGTCTCCTCATCAGCTTCTTTACGAAGTCAGTGGTTCCCTTGATGTATGGCAAGAACACTTTTCCTCTGGGTGGATCTTCCTCTTTACTCTTGTGGCTTGTTCTCGGTCTTCCAGCTATTCTGCTGTCTGTGATGGAGTATCCATTAGCCTGTAAAGCCCAGTTTAGGTGGTTCAGTTCACCTTGGAGGAGGTGGGGTTTGCATATCCTTTTTGCATGGTCTGCCAGGGCTTTAATGGTGCTTCTTTTTTGACTTGGGTGATGGTTGCAGTTTTTATGTAGGTATCTTTGTAGATTTTCCTTGGCTTGATTTGGAAGTGAGCTTGGTAATGGAGCTCTCTTCTCCCCACCCCAAAACAGGAAATGGCTCAAATTTTCCAAATTCGTCAGCATCTGTCATGTATTTAGGAAGCACAAAAAGGTGCTACCTTCCTCCCTTGTCATCCAAGTTGTAGAAAGTTGTCAGTGGTAGAGAATCCACTCCAGCTTTTGAGCGTATTGTTCTAGGTGATGAATCAACCCTACCCTCTAAATCAGTGGTTCTCAACCTCGGGTCCCCAGATGTTTTTGGCCTACAACTTCCAGAAATCCCAGCCAGTTTGCCAGCTGTTAGTTTGTCCCATTTGTTACTGATGAAATAGTTTGTCCCATTTGTTACTGATTCACTGGATCCATTCTATTTGAGATTAAACATTGGATTCAGGTCCAGATATTTATGATTTCTGGTGACATTACTGCTTATGACTTGTAAAGAAGTTACTTTCATAAGAGAAGTGAAAGCATGTGTCTCTTCTTGTACTGTGCTTTGTTTTCTAAGCACCCTCAGCTTCAAACGCTTTCTGTAAAATAGCTTTGACATGTTTCTGGGATGTAATGAGATAAATGGCTGAACAGCTGGATCAGAATAAAGTGCTTTTTAAAGACTGCGAGAACCACCTTTGATGATAGATAGATAGATAGATAGATAGATAGATGATAGATAGATAGATAGATAGATAGATAGATAGATAGATAGTTTTGATGTGGATGCATAGTATTTACTACTTCTTTGTGAAATAAACCCACCATGCTAATAAAGAACAATTGTTTGTAGGTGCCAGGTCGACCTATCAACCCTAAGCAGAGAGCATACTCATAAGCTGGAATTATCTCTGGAAGAAGGAGAAGGGTATCTGGTACTACTAGTCACCTTGACTGCTTCTGCTGCAGTCAGCATCTCTGACCTCTCAATCAATGCCTTGGAGGACCCAAAGGAACTGGAAGAAATACTAAAGAGATATGTACGTATCTTCCTGGCCAGAGATTATGGTGAAATATTGACAAAGAATGTTTATTTATTTATTTACCGTTTTTATATACCGCGTAGAGCGTGTTGCAGTAGTCTATTTAGGATGCTGAGTGGTGAACGGGAAATATAGCTCAATAGTACTAAACATCATTCACATTGTTGCATTCGGTTTGTTCATTCAGGAAGCAGTCTTATGGTAGCTCAATTAATATTCACAGCTAATGCCTAGATTCTGTTTGGCATTAGCTGTGATTCTGTGAAAGATTAATCCTATTAGTGCTTTCCAATTAGTTATTGTTACTAAGTATGCTACTTCAAACCCATTTCAACTTCAGTAACTATGTGTTCTTAATTAATGCCAATCCCAAATGAAAAATATTGTTAACAAGTTATTCCATTGCATTTTTTAAACTCAATATAAAACCAGGTAGTTCAAGAATCCAAAAATACACAGATCGACTTTGTTCGGAGTATTGTTCAAAACATTACCAGAAGCCCTCTCCCATCATTGAGAAAGAATGAAGTCACTCTTTGTTCTGCTGTGGTGATACTAAAATTTAAAATTCTATATTGAATATTTTCAGAATAAAATATTTTATTTCCCAGCATCCTCACTCATCTCATGTAAGCATCTGTGTAGTTTTAGTAAAGCAACAGCAAGGGGAGCTCTTACTCCAGCATTTTGTCATACCGAACTCACTAAAACTGACTTACTACACACAAAGAAGAAAAGAAGAAAAGCCATTTCTACCTAAAATTACAAAGCTTTTATTGTACAGTGCTGCCAGGTGTTTAGAAGCTTCTCTAGACACTCTGCCATTAAGCCAAGCTCTGACTAACAAAGGGCTGTTTAATTTTTTTTATTTTAAAATATTCCTATTCCCTGGCTGACATCCTTTCAATAACTGAATTTAATAAAGATGTACCTTATCAGGCTCTGCAGATAACATGAAGTGCTAGTACTAATGCTGTACAATATTCTTCAAACAGATTAGCAGGATGTGCGCTTCAGCAAATTTATTCTACCTATCTCCACTGAATCAGCTGTCTGCTGGTACTTGTACAAATCATACACCAATAGTGTTATCATAAACACAGTTTAATAGAGGTGACTTAGCAAGACTAAACATTATATTTCCTAAACCAACTGAGAGCTAAGATACTGTGTACTCTTTTTGAAAAACTAATAACTAATAAGTATTATTTCAGATTTTGGTAAAAGACAGTGTGTTCCATCAGATGAGATCTTAATAGATATAATGCATTTCTGATAGATTAATTGTAGTGATACACATTTCGATCGCAAATAGAGAGAACTATATATATTTTTCTCAAGAACGTCGGGTCAACATGAAGCAAATGATACTGGCTATTCTGATAACTTTATAACGTTTCAGAAATGTTGTCCAGGAAAATCAAAACTTTTTAAAATCTTGTTTTTTTCCCCTAATTATAGAATTTAGAGAAGCAACATGATTTGTAAGAAAAACATTAGCATTTTTTTCAAAGCCTGACATGGAGAAATGATGATCCTATTACCATGATTATTTCAAATATTAGAACATTTACTTTTAAACTGAATTAAATATGCTGCTGTAATCGATGCATAGACACAAAATGGCAGAATAAAGAACGTAAACACAGTGTTTTTCAAGCTGTTATAAATACCTTTGTATTGTTGCCTTCTTCATCTCCAGCATGTGTAACTTTGCCTTTTGCGGAATATATAGTAAACTGTTGTTTTGCAACCAGCAAGACAAAGCTTTCCATTTATTAGGTTTATTTTATACAATATTAGTTTTAAGGCTTTTCTTACAGCATTTAAAACATGTTTTATACCAGGTTTTTTTGTGAGAAACATTTTAAACGAGCTGACCCTGCCACCAGATCAAATAATCTTGGGAAATGACTCTTACTGTCGTTTCGCCGTTTGTAGCTGAACATCAGAGCCCTACAAATTAAACAGGCATTACTGTTTGAACCATTATTTTATCACTATTGTATGGAAAGATTAATTCCTTTTGGGATGGGGGGGAAGGGACCATTATAGGTAGCAGACCAAGAGAGAGATTGTGTGACCTTTTCAGAACGGGAATGCTGAACCCCTGCTCCCCCTTGTCACAGTTTAAAAACCAGAGAAGCTAGTTTAGTGAAGAAGTTGTTAGCATTCCATTTTTATTATGACATTTCACAGTCATCCGATTTAATGTCCCTTGACCGGATTGTCCACCGTGAGACGATGGGCTTGAAATGTTATTTAGAGCATTGATAAAAGGTGAGCAGTTCTAAGATGACAGCGAGTCATAAGGCTGGTGGTGTGACATTAATTTTCTCCATAACAGAGATGGAATAAGACGTCATGGTGACAAGCTGTCAATCAGGACTGGCCCCTCAGTGTATCTCAATGCCATAGGATGGGGTATTGGTTCTCCCATAATAGACCTGAACTGAGATGCTCTCCCTGACAGCTGCTGCAGCCATACAGAAAATATATTATACAGCCTTTCATTAAAAAAATAAAGAGGACTCATCTCCAGAGCATTTCAATCTTTTCCCATCTATTGAGGGCTGAAAGGATTCACAGCAAATCATAGATTTCTCTGCTATGGAAATTTCGGGCCTCCGATGCCATCCTGGTTTGGGGGCCTTCCATAATCGTAAATAAGGAGGCTGACAATCAGCTGATAAATCATTACTTTATGCTGCATGTTTAAAGTCATTTGCTTTTCACAAAATCCTACAATAATATTCTGCAGTATGTCACTGGCCCAGATTCTCAGAATATATGGTAAATTGCTCTCAATCAGCTGACTCTCTGAATCTGAAAGTTCAAACTATAATTACCCTATAGAGCCCTGACAAATAGTAACAAGTGAAATATTGCAGTACTGATGTATGTATGTGTGTGTATGAGAGACGGCGGACATGCTTATATACGGTACATGCAGATCGTGAAAACAATCAGTTTATGCTGATTATTGCACCTGAAATATGAAATGTGAGCTTGCGCTTTTTCAGTGCATATCCTTCATGTATCTGGATTGAGAAAAAGGCACTAACCATTGGTCAAAATGGTAACAAATGATATACTACAAAGAAAATTTTGTATTCCGATGCTATCATAGTCTTTCAGAGGCAGGCAGTTTGCAGTAATGTAAACAGAGTGTAAAAAAGAGAATGTACTTTCTCTATACTTAGTCCTATGATTACACAAATTTCTGATGGACAAATATTTAGGAAATTAAAAATTAATCTCAGGTTTAAATGGATTGCGATTCTGTGAAACATCGTATCTATAAATACATTTATACATGAGAATTGATGTGGCATATAACTGCATTGGCTGACTCAGTATGCCAAGGTCAGATCTTTTCTGTACGGGATAAGCATCTTATGGGATTTACATTGTGAGCTTTATCTCTGATTCTTATTGGCAAAAATATTTGCTTAACATTTTAATAGTTCATGTTTCAAGCAGAAAATCCACACACACACACACACACACACACACACACATTATAGCGCTAATGATTATCCATCAAGCGGCAATACAGTAGGCAAGATTATTAATTTGTACTTTTATTAAAATCTGGGTTTTTTTTAAGAGTCTAATAACATTCCAATTTTGAAATGAGATTTCTTCCTGCTGCCTGTCTGCCCTGTTTTGAAAGGCCAAAACTTTGTAATAAAACATTGAATAGCATTGGGAATTCTGTTAAGCTATCAATTATATAGATTTATTAGGCATTTAATTTATACTTATAACAAATATATGAACACAAAATATATGAGCTTTATAAAAAAGAGAATCTTGTGAAAAAATAACAATTTTTCCCTTCTTAATATGAAATTGGAGCTTTCAAGGCAAGTGTTTGAAATTAATTACAAATATTTCTCAAAAACTATCACAGAACTATTGGAGAGAGATCTGTATTGAACATAGAAGAACAGAAAAAGTTTGGTGTAGTTCTTCATTTTTTTTTAATATACCATATGTATTTTATGGTCCATTTTATCTATGTACTTTAATTTAACTGTGTTGCTTCAAGCCCTGAGAAGAGGTACAACATGATGATGTTGATGAAAAACGTTCCCTAAAACATTCCGTGTATGCTTGCTATATAAATATGGGGTTCTAATTTACATATTAAGAACTGGCTGTATCTGTACATCCATCATATTCCTTAGGGTGTGTTGATGCATTATGATCTGGGCATAATCGTCAGCATCATTCTGATGCATTGTTTATTCCAATTAGATATTGAAATATTTGAAATAAATAATGCACCAACATGAAAGAGAAAATTCAAGGTTTTAAATTAAACATCTTAAAAGTAAATGGTGGAATCAAAAATATATGTTTTTGACAATGAATGGAGAATAGGATATATAAAATATATCTCATTGATAAGAAATCAGCAAAACTATTTTAATAATAATCAACTAAACCATTGTAAAAACTGAATGAAAGAAGAAGAGACTTTCCCTTGCTAGGCAAGTCTGATTTGAGATCTTTACATATCTGTGTTATAGAGTCTACTGCGCATGCTTAATAACATCAAAGATGTGGGATTTCTCCAAGTGAAGGTCATCAGAGCAGAAGGATTGATGGCAGCTGATGTTACAGGCAAGAAATATTTTATTTTTTGTGACAATAAGAATTCTGTACAATAACTTTTTAGAAAACCAGCAGTGTGGACAAGGATATGACAATTAAGTCAGGAGGGTTGGTTATGATATAAGACATAAGTCCTATATCTTATGTCTTAAACCCACTTTGCAAACAAACCTGTGCCTGAACTTTTGACAGGCCACAACCTTCCAATGGAATCTTAGTTAAGTCATTTACTGAAAGGGTGAAATGATGCATCCCCTTGCCTCCAAAAAAAGAACTCACAAGCTTCATGTTGTGAAGCTTCATTCTCAGTGGATTACAACAGATACAGAGTAATCAAATTGAAATATTGTGTTGGATAAAGTTGTCACTGTTCATGGTATGACAAGTTTGCATGTGTATCTACAGTATTTTTTAACAAAAAGCAAAAAGAGAAGTTGAAATAAATGAAAATTTTTATAATTTCTCTCTGGAAATATAATAGATTTATGTAAGCATTCTGGATCATGCATCTTGCTCTGTTTATTTTGTTTACATGCCATCGTTCTTTCACAAATTCAAGGTGACATACATGAGTTTTGACCCTGTTGACAAGACCCACACTTTCTTAGGTTGCTGTGTCATTTCTGATCAAAACATGCAATTACCATGCACTTGGGACTTCATTCCCTTATCCAGAGAGCTCTGTTTACCAAAAAAGTGTTATAATGTTCTTACATTTCAGGAAGTAGGTACATCCTCCCAAGTTGGTTATCTAGTCTATGTGTTCAAAAGTAGAACCGGGCATTGCAAATGAAATCCTTCTTCTTTCAATGATTTTCCTTTTATAATCTTGCAATCATTATCAATCTGTTTTCCTTCATGATTATTTAATAGCTGATTTTTTTTAATTTGGTTAATTTGTATTTACATCTTGCCTTCAGGTGCTGCACAAATGGAACTTTTACATCATTTACTCTGTGTGATCCCTTGGGCTCTCCAAAATCTATTCTGTAGAGTTCCCTAATTTTCTGGAGCAAATATCGAAAGTATGTGTGTGTGTGTGTGTGCGCGCGTGCATGTGTGCAAGGCATGATATGGGTTTGATATGAATGATCAGGTTTTCTGCCAACTTAAAGTTACCCTGTGAATTACATAGGGATTTCTTATGCGAGGAATGCTCAGAAGTGATTACTCTCTCCTAGTTTTCCTATTATATTGGTAGACGTTAATTGGGTTACTATTTATATTTCAAGATCCACAGCAGTGATATCATGAGCTATGTAGAAAACAAATCATTTGTACCTGATTGTAGAATAATATAGTGAGTGAAAGGGGGGATAGTCCACAGCAATCACTGATGGGTCAATTTTTTCCCATTTACTGTGTGATTTTCTGGTATTATCTGTACAACTTGATATGGAATATATAGAGAAGTTACTCCACATGTGAAAGACTTTAGAGACATTGCAGTGTTAGCTTAGGGGATGAATATATATATATATATATATATATATATATCGATATATCTTCTAACAATGTTGAGAACAGCTATATATACATTCTGAAAAGTAGTTTTCTAATTTGGTCTCAAAGGTGCTACGGGATTTTTCCATAACCCTTTATACATGGAAGAGTCCTTGGTGCTCATTATGTATTTATTAATTTGATTGATTACCTGCTTTTTTCCTAATCTGTGTCTCAGGGTGGTTTACCAAAAGACAAATAAGAAGTGCTGCAGACAAAATACACACACGCGCACACACATATATAATCAAGCACAATTAAAGAAATTTCAATATTAACTTCCAATATTGGATTATTTTCCAGATTATTACATTTGGATGAGGTGGAAATAGTTGCAAGAATTGCTTACAATTTAAAGTTTGAGCAATATTAAGAGAAAGGTACTTGTTGGTTGGTTTAAAATATTATATATTGTTATATTAGAATTCATAGACACATCTGTATTATTTTGCAATATCAGTATGCAGAAGGATCTTGTAGCACCATAGAGACTGACTGAGAGAATGAAGTTGGCATCATAAATTTCATAGACTAAATCTTCTTCAGATGCAATCTAAGAAAGTAGACTTAGGCCATGAAGCTTATGCTACAAAATTCCTTTGCATATTGCATATTGTTAGATGAGTTTTGTTACTTACACTTGCAAATGTTTACTATGAAAGTTCTAGTTTTTCATAGTGTGGTCCAACAATGGGAATCATGGAGCACAGATATGGTTGGATGTAACTCTCACGATTCCTCCCTTTTTGTCATGTATTGATGCTGAGATGTGCAGTTATACAACATCTGGAATTATTTCCATGACTGTGAAACATTTAATTAATTATATATAAATAATATGAACTACATGGACATAAAAATGATGTATAGACATCTCCCACTAATAAATATAGGGGCATGATAGTAAATAAAACACTTGTATAGTATGTCCTTGGCATCCACTGGAGTTTGGCACAGTGGTATAGTTACTAGAAGTACAATTTTAAAATCAAGATTTGCCTTTTGGATTTTTGGTTGAATCTGTGAATACACAATCCTTCAAAAGTATGGCCAACTTTACATATAAATAAGGCCAGTTTTCTGTGAGCCCTTACATTGGAGTTAGTCCAATTAAAATCAAGGAGGCCTGGTGCATGTATATGTGCCGTCAATTCACCTGTCAGCTGTCATGAGGTTTTCCACCTTACAACAGCTTCTGAAATATGCTGGCATTCAAGGGTTAATTTCTTTGAGAAATACCAAATTTCTTAACAGCACCTGCTACTATGAACATGGCAATGGGCAGTCATCACCATTATAAGGTGACACACCCCTCTATTTTATATCTATATTAGGATAGTCTTATCAATACCTACATACTCGACATCCTCCAGCAGCACGCTAAAGCCATGACTATCAGCTCAGCTCTCTGTTAATGGAGGAGTGTCTGTTTTGAAACCCTAATTTAGCTCTTTTTATCTTTTATTTGTCCACTTAGCTTATCAAATTTTCAGTCAGAACCCAGAATTTGACTGTATGTCCAGGACACTGGTGTTTTTTGTCTAGTGGTCATTGTAACATTAGATATCTTTCCATTACATGTCATCGGGTGTCCTTTAATGCACTGAAGTGAAGGGTTCATTTTAATGTACATGTACTTTCCTGATTACAAATGTGCAGGCTCCGTTTTACCATGTTTACATTCCAGAAAGTATCTGGCAATTTTCCCAGACTGGAAAGTGAAACCATTTTTCATAATCCTGAGTAATACAGAGACATACTTTCACAAAGCTACTTGCTTGAATAAGCACTTGTGCTCTACGTTTTAAACGATACCGAGTTGTATTCTATTTTTTAATATTATTTAAGCATGCCGAGAAATTGACAAATGAATATGTCTAGACTATAACATTACTTCTGACCAAATATGCACAGGATTGCAGTATAAAGTAGATTTATGTTTCTACTTTGTTATCTTAAATATACAGTGGGCTCTTCAAATCAGTAAGTCCTGAATCCTCGATTTTCACCAACCATGGATTGTCATGTTCTATAAATAAATGGTGGTGAATGCGGATGTATTGAGGTATCTATGAGCTCATCTACAGTTTGATATCCATGAGGAATCCCAGAATTGTATCCCTGTGAATCCATATGGATTATTCTATAAAATTTGAGTTATTGAAAGTTTACTTATGTGACTAGAAAGTGTGTTAAAAGATGCTCTTGGCCATGTGTTAAGCACCATCACTAGATGTGTCACTCTTCCCACTGCAGTTGACATGGATTCTCAGCCAGCTTGCATAATTCAAAGGCCTGCATAATCGGGGCTCTAATCCACACGGGGAGCCTTTGATTAGTACAAGAAGATCCCTGTTTCAAAACATGTTGAACAGGGTGCTGATAGATAGATGCATTAATTTTGCCATTTTATATAGAGGGTGCCATTTTACAGGATGCCATTTTACTATGTCACTTGAAAATCCACTTTTTGTGATCCATGAGGGGTCCTGAAATCAAAGCCCACTATATCTTAAAAAGAGTATGTGCAAAATCGTGTGCCAAAGTCTTATACGAATAGAACAATTCCCCAAAATAAGGAGCAGCCGAGGAAGGGGTACCTTTTTATGTGATGGAATCATCTTTTAGATAAACAAAAGAAGAATTTTACTTGTAAAAGTGGAAGTAAGACCTTGATTGTTCGAAACATGCAGTGATACATGAAATCATATTTTACGGGGAGAGAGGGAGGCTTCTTTGACTTAGACTAAGTTAATAAAGGTTTGCTAGCACATAAAGCTGTGCATAGATGTTTGTAAAAGTGACATAACTTTTAATATAAACATAATTTGATAAATTTTGCTCTTGCTTCAAAACTCATAGCTTTATATATTTTGTACAGTGGGTACCAACCTGTGGCCTGTGAACCACCAGTGGTCAGCAAGAACTAAAATATGGTCCGCGGCCTACACCATCACGAGAGTGACTGGTCTCGCAAAACCCTCTTATAGTGCCAAGGCATATTAAATTATTAACTGGGCAAGCAGATGATGACTACTGAATGGCATATGTTCTTTATCAGAAATTACAGCTGATGTGGTCTGTGCAATGCAGATTTCTGAATCAGCACCCCAAATAATCAAACTGAATCTAAAGTTGACCAAAAACTGATTTGTAACCCTTTGGGTACTAATATTGGAGAGTGATCCCTGTTCAAAAAAAGGTTGGAAACCACTACTTTAGTAATAGTTCAAGACTTCTTCATTTTCAGGAAAACAACAAGAAAACTTATTTGAGAATAAATGCATCACTGCCATTGCATTAGCTTGTCAATCATGATGAGTAGTGATCAAGACTTGTGGTTGGTGTCATACGGTGCAGTTACAGTGCTTTGATATCTGTCACACCTTCATCCTACAGAATCCTGAGCTTTGTTTTTGGGTAGACCCCTAAAATCCCTTGACAAAGTCCTAAAAGTACAAGTCCCAGATTTGCGTAGGATGGAGCCATACCAATTATAGCAATAT